GCCCGTCATGTGGTTGCTAGCGCCGGAGTCTAGGTACCACCGCTACTCCTGTCTGCCGCCCACACGTCCGAGGTGGACTTAGGCGCGCGGTTCGTCAAGGTTGACAGCCTTCAGAGCCTTGCCGTGCTGTTCCACCACCATCACCTCTCCCTTCTCCTTGGCCTCAACGTCGTGTAGTGCACAGAACATCACCATCAGAAGAGTGGCCTCATCATCATCATCGGTCTACGCCAGATGAGCCTCAGCCTTCTTCTCCTGCTTGCGATTTGGGCACTCCTTTGCCCAATGACCCGTCTTCTCGCAGCGCCGGCAGGCGTTGGGGTCGACCTTTCTTGTTCTTCTTGTCCGAAGAAGCCTTGCCACGGTGCTTGCCATCGACACCACGGCTGGAGGAGGCTTCTTCGGAGTTCCTTCAGGTAGCCCACTCCTCCTCTGTCAGCAGTTGCTTGCCGCTGTCCCTCGTTGCTATGGCTTGCTCCATGCGCTCGTCCACTGCCCGTAGATGGCCTATCACATCCTCAATGGTGAGACTGGACAAGTCTAGCATTGTCTCTATGGAGAGAGCGATCTAAATGTACTTCACCGGCACGGAGTGGAGGTACTTGGTGACCGTCTCTTCTTCGTCGATGGTGATGCCGTGGCTCCTCAGCTTGCTGATGAGCGACTGCAGGCAGAAGGAGAAGTCCTCCATCGATTCACCATCCTTGAACTTGAGGGTGGCGTACTCCTGCTTTAGCAGCTAGGTCGTTGCCTTCTTTGCGAGGTCAAAACCGACACGCATCGCTGTAATGGCCTCCCACGCCTCCTTAGCAGAGTTCTTCGCCCCCAATGGCTCCCTGTACTCCGCTGGTACAGCAGCGAGGATAGCCTCCAACGCTAACATGTCATCTTCTTCGTTGTCGGTGCCCTTGTCAATGGCATTCTACAGCCGTTGGGCTCTGAGCTTGACCTTCATGGTCACCGCCCACTCGCTATAGTTGGTGTGAGTCAGCGTCGGCCAATTGGTGCCGCTGACCTCCCGCACCGTGCGCACAACGACCTCTTGTCGTGGCTGGGCAGCCATAGCAGCGCCGCTGCTGTCGTCCATCTCCAAACCGTCCGTCATCGCCAGCGGTTAGTCCGGCGACGACGTTTGTACGGCTCTGATACCACTTGTTGGCCCCTAGATCTTCCACACGGGTGAGCCGACCGCTCATTAGTGTTGCCGACCACACACTATGGCTAGAGGTAGAAGAAGAGAGAAAGAACAGAGCACACACACACACAACACAAGCACCAGCGTTGGCCAGAGCTCTGCAGAGGAGATGGCAAAACCGAACTCGCTCTCTTTACTAAGTTGTAGTGGAAAACTATATATACAGCTCTACCCATCTAATCCTAGTATACAGACATGTTCAGGCTGCTATGCTGCTACAGTGACTAGATGTGACAGCAGGGCTGACTTTGACGCCTGCCCCTGCTGTGGCTACAGTGTGACAGGTGAGCCTTTCGGTGCCTGCCCCTGCAGCGGCTATAGTGCAACAGTAGGGAACCTTTCGGCGCCTGTCCCTGCCGTGCGTTCATACAGGGGAGCAGCAGATTACTTAACAAGCTTTACGAGCTCCTTCCTGATGGTGGTGCTTCCTGTTGTTTATGTATAGTGGAGGCTTTGCTGCTTTAGTCCTTTTGCTTTCTTATTAGTGGACACTGGAGGACCATCAACAGGCTATGAGTGCACACTGTTAGTGCTATCGAAGGGCCCACTAGACTGCCTGCAGGCGGGGCCTCCTGGTCGGTGTCACATTGGGATGGTGTAGTTCAGTGGATTTCATCTTATATATTGTTAGACAAATCGGATATCACGAGGATGCATGGTTCGGATCACTCAAGTATCAAATCAAAAACCGACCTAGCTGATGTCCAAAACTAGTCGCAGAATCACCACAGAAACTTACAAATATCTCTTGAGAGGTACTTATCGGAGAGGCTCACTTAGAATGTGCCCTAGGTTTGCTGGTTTGGTAGGCCGGGTGGAGCGCTCCCTCACACCATAGAGATGAGAGAGGAATAACATAAACATATGGTGATCCTACAAGGTTAGGTCTCAAACGGGGATCCATTGAGGTTTTGGTGGCGGTGGATAAGATTAAGATGGTAGCATCGATGCGTCACTCCATTTCAAGTAGGACCTCAACTTAGCTTCTACTACTAATAAAAAAAGAGCAATTTAGAGGTGCTTTCGTAGATCTATTTTATCTTCTATACAATCTTCTGTACCTAAAAAAATAAAAAATAGTATTTTAAAAGATAGAAATACGGCAGTAGATCTTCTATATGTCATCTTTTAGATAAGGCGAAGTTCTTCCTCTAAATAGAGGAGACAACCCTCTCTCCTGTCTCTAAAAAAGAATATAGAAGACAAATTTGAGTTAAGCTGCTACCTATTGTTCTCTTATATCCTAAATTGATTTTAAAATACTTTCCTAAAACTTAAACTATATATAGAAGATACAAGAGACCTGACGAAGATGTTGTTAGAAACTTCTACCGTCTTTCCCGGGCACCTGCCTGTTTATTACAGTCCTCCCACGTGGCCACGTTCATGCAGCCTGTTCGGGAGGCCGTATCGTATCGTGGATTATTTACTGCTGGCTGGTTTGGTGTGAGAGAAAAACACTGTTACCGGCTGAAAATTTACGACCGTTTACGAGCAAACGAACAGGCTGATGGTAGCTGCATTTCCCCCCTTCCCGGCTAATAAATTATGAAAGCTGCCAAGAGTTGAGTCACTCTGTCTTTTGTGCACGGCTACCTTTGTGCACAATTGTTAATGATGAAGCAGTAGGTTGCACAACAAAGCAAACCCCCAATCCCCCAAAGTAGCAACCTGAAATGGGTCTTGAGGACTCGAGAGCAATTTGCGATTTGCTTTTGAGGACTAGAGAAACATGCAAATTGAGGGCTAGCTACTGTACCTCTTGTCTGATGACTCACTAGCCTATGTTCCACACTCTGTAGTTAGGGTCACAGAAGCAAGAAAGTTCAGATATATTTGGTCATGTTCATGTTATAAAAGAGATGATACGTACATATATATGGTGGATGCAAAATACTACATCAGTAATGGATCAATCAGTGAAGAAAAAGGGTAAAGTGGTAGCCCTTTTCACCTTGTACACCCCCGTGGTTTGCGATTGCCTGCCTGCCTGCTAGGGTACAAAATGCAGCTCAACAACCCTCGAGGTCGAGGCACGCACGCGCGATCACCAAATAATTCAGGGTTAGTGCTAACGTGGTTGCGAAGGCAGGTTAGCTAGCCCAGATTAACCAAGCACGCGTCCCTTTCTCTTTGCACACTTCCATCGCTGAGATTCCGGGAATCCAATCACAGTTTCGTCGTCCTCTCCAGAATTCAGGCCGGTCGGGTTGTACCGCACACACACAACTGCTCGGCTCGCCGGACGCTTGTCTGCGGGTTACGTACAGGCATGACCGCATGAGGAGGCGAGGCATGCATGGCATTGGCACTGCCTGCCCTGGGCGGAAGGGGCACGACAGCGCGAGCCTTTTCGCCGCGGCTTTCGTCGTCGGTGGACACGCAAGTCACGAGGGATCGGCCGGGCATGTGCCACCGGCAACCGGTCGCGGTCGGTCGAGCCCGGCCGGGATGTTGCGTGACGCCTGAGGCTGATCTGTCTGTCGCCGTTCCCTTTCTTTCGCGCGCTTGGCTCCACCTCGCCTTTCACTGTCCATGGACTGGAGCAGCAGCTGAAGAGGCAAGGATGCCATTGCCATCGTAAGCAGAGCAGCCTCGCCGTGCTGTTTGTCTTTGCACTGCCTGCCCGCTTGAGACCTGAGTGCCTCGTCAGAAACGTTGTCGTATCGATGCGCGCGGTGTGCCGTGTCGTTCGTGCACAGTGCTGCATGCAAGTGGTGGTGTCTCTCTCTGTGCAGCCACGTCTCGCTGTATAGAGTAGTATAGTACTAGACAGCGAGTGATGTGGTGCAGCAGGATCAGGATCATGCCGGGCCCGACGAGCGGGCGGTCGCCGGTGGAGAGAGATAGAGCGAGAGATATGCGGCACAGGGACTGGGCTCCGGGACCTCAACTGACGAACGCGGCCTCGTCTCTCGTCCCTTGACATCAGAGATGATAGGATAGCACTCGAATTCGGTGTTTTGACAAAGCAGGCAAGCAGGTAAGCCAATTGTCAGACATGAGAGTGAAAGATCTGAATTCTGATGTTATTTGTGCTCTCACTCAGGTGAGCTGTGACAAGCAAGCCTCTTGTGACCACGGCTGAGAATGACCTGACGCAGTCGACCTCTGATGGGAAAGGTCTACTTTTTTTTGTTTTGATAATAAAAGGTCTACTTTTTTTTAAGAGCATGGGAAGTGTCTATTTTTTTCCTTTTTGATGAGAGCATTGGGAAATGTCTACTTTTATTTTTGAGCAGAATAGACCTTTATTATTTTTCATAAGAAGTATAGACGCCATCAGGCTCCCTAACTCAGCATAAATATAACCCTTAGCAAGATTATGAGCATTCACGTTTGATCGCCTCCTTGTGGACGGACTCGACAAATCTAAAATCATTCTATGACCAGAACAGTTTATTTAGGACTATACGTGTACGTCTATATATACTAGGATGGGCATATGTACATGGCCCGCTGGTATGTGCATGTTGGGCTGATCTATTGTCATTTGACGCAGTGGATCGCCAGGCCATGGTATCATGTTTCAGCCCAGGCCCAGTGTGATTTTCAGTCCATTTTCAGCCCATAGGCGCTAAGCCGGCCGTCGCCCCAGGTGCCGTGTCGTAGCAAGCGCAGAGCTGCTGCTCGCAGACGGCATTTGGCGACTGAGTTTTTGTATCCGGCGATTTGGTGCTGGATGTGATGCGTAATTTATCCAACTTCTTTTGAAAGAAAAACAGCCACGCCAGTCGCCGCGCCAGCAAATCACTTCCGGCTTCCACTGCTCCAGCCAAGCCGCCGGAGACGTCGGACATCGGAGATGGCGGGGAACCTGCACCTCCCCGTGGTGGACCTGGCGTCGCTGGACCTCCGCGCCGCCGCTGAATCCATCCGACAGGTGACTTCACTCGACCCCCCAGACTATCGAAACAGAACACCCCGGAAGAGATTGCGAGCTTATTTGATGGTTGGGCAGGCGTGCGTGGAGCACGGGTTCTTCTACGTGACCAACCACGGAGTGGACCGCGGCCTGCTCGAGGCGGTGTTCGCGCAGAGCAAGGGGTTCTTCGACCTGCGGATGGAGGAGAAGATGGCGCTGCTGAGGCGCGCCAACCATCGGGGGTACACGCCGCCCTACGCCGAGAAGCTCGACGCCTCTTCCCAGTTCGTAGGTCGGGTATCTCTGCCCTCGCCTGCTCCTCCTCTGCACTCCCACCTGGTGTTGGGATTTTGGTCTGAACACCAAAATATGACCGCTGTCGCTTAGCACACGAAAGCTGCTTGAAATTGTTTCTGGAGTACCTGACTGATGCAAACTAGTACTGTAATAGGACTGTTTCTGTGATTCACTGGCTGCCATAGCTAAAACTGAACTGAATCATAATAATACTGTAATAGGACTGTTTCTGTCACAAAACGTGTCGTGGGTTGAGGAATTTAGGCAGAACCGTGAAGGAATTTTCATTTAGCCAATCTTACCTTGCTTCAGTTATCTGATTAGACTGCGCATGAATCTAGGAGCTATGTGTGGTGGGTTGAGGAAAAGTCCATAAAGAATGGACAATTACTGAAGAACCCATTCTGCACATCGTTTGTAGTTTGAAGCTACAGCCACACTTCATAGATTTTACCATTTCTTCTGGTCCTTGCAATGATATAGTTGAATTTGTCAGGATATTTTTTGGAGCTTTTGTCTCCTCCCTGTAATTTTTCCTATACTGAACTCCCTGTAATTTTGTTCTGCCTTCCTTAATGAAACAGAAGCAGATCTCTGCTAAAAATACGCCTCATTAAAAAAAACAGACTCTCTAATCTCATTTTGATTTCTGAATTTTGATATATTATAGGAGACCTCAAGGAGAGTTTCTACATTGGGCCTATTGATGATGGCGATATGCATAACGATATAAACCAATGGCCTTCTGAAGGTACTTATCTGCTTTGTCATCTCTTAACATCTGATAAGTTTGCTACCTGTCATCCTGCATTATCTAATTGTCTATGGACATCATTCATATGATCATTGTCTGTGGACATCATTCATACGATCAGATTCCATTTTATGCTTTGAACATTTGCTTCTTTTTTCTGGCTATCTGTAGAGCGCTTGCCATCTTGGAAGGAGACAATGAAGCTATACATTGCAGCTGTTCTGTAAGTATTAGAAGAACGTTGATTCCTCAAAACAAAATAAAGGTTTTGTAAGAATATTTGTGTATTTGTTAAAACATTTTATCTTATTAATTGATGGTGTTGCTTATTCCCTACTAGGGATACTGGCACACGGATACTCTCTCTAATTGCTTTGGGTTTGGATTTGGATGCTGATTTCTTTCATAAAATTGGTGCATTGAACTGCCCGTCAACATTTCTTTGGTTATTGCATTACCCAGGTTACATTATTCCATTTCCTTCTATATCATATGAAAGCATCAAAGTTTATTCTTAAGATTATGAAATGGTTTGCTACACTCTTGGTCTTGCTTTTTCACCGGTCTTCTCATTTCATTGTTGTTGATAGCCTGATAGGTTCTTGAATGGCTTCAGCTCTTCATTATTCATTTTTCGTACTGCCATAAATAACTATAACAGAGAAACAAAAGCAAATGGAAGTCAGGTGTTCTTTTTCCTTGACTGCTTAGCAGATTTGCTATATAAGAAAATGTATGGATGCACATGTTACACTAAAGAATTCAGAACTTTTCATCCTCCTACAGAGTGTTGCTTGGCTGGGTTGGATATAAGGGTGCGTAACTAATGTGCCCAATAAGGTGCTGTTTGGTTGGGAAATTACGACAGTAAAGTAAATGGTATCTAAAGGCATCGGTAATGGAACAAATTAAGTGAATATCAACGTTGTTCTTTGTAGCTCGGTAGTGGAAGTAGACTACAGCTAGGAGAAGAAACAGACTACTAGCACTTGCAATTGACCTATCTATTCATCTCAAGATGGCACCAGAGAGAAGCAAACAGGGAAAGAGAAGCAATCTAGTACACTTGCCATGGAAATGGGCTGCTGCCGGAGTTGCTGATGACACAGCTTCACCGCAGCAATGTGTGAATGGGAATTCAGAAGTGACTGCAGTTACATGCTCCGTAGTGGTGCACAGGGTGACAGCACATGGATGAAGCAGTTTAGTCTCGCTTGGTGGTCAGGACCTGAGGGACATGGATGAAGTGGGCTTGTCCTCCACTGTTCCTTGAGGGAGGATGAGATTGGGATCTGGGGAGAACTTGAAAGGACTAAGGATAAAGGAGCAGCTGCTCTGTTAATTGTTTGCGATTCCAGGACTTTTGGACGTAGTTAGTTCTGTAGTGACTCAGTATCTGATTACATAGACTCTAAATGAAACATGAATTAAAGTTAGTGGTTACCACTGTAATCTGGTTTTGTTAAAAAATGCTAACCAAGCAACACCTAAAGGTTTAATGAAAACAGTCAAGTTGCATAGAACATACTCATACTTAATGTACTATCAGGCTAGCAGCTGCCAGCAAAGGCTATGCAGATTTGTGCATCTATCTTGATAGTAGTTCAGGATATATATCTTACTACTGTATACTGAAGTGCAGTCTGATTGCTGAACAAAATGTTAAGGAACATGAAATTATGAATGCAAGTTATATAAGCTTGTTGGGTAATTTAACTTCTGTAATACTGTAAGAGGGGAGACATGCAGACAAAAGGACTGAGGCATCTTTAAGCTTCTTCTAGGAACTTCGTCTTGGTGAACTTATTCTTCTTTGTCTTCTTTTAATTTATGGAGGCACTGAAAGACTTTGTTATAAGTCCTTACATTGTATTTCCTTTTAATTGATTCATCGCAGGTGAAGTAAATGAGTCTGATAGTAGAAACTATGGTGCATCAGCTCACTCGGACTATGGTGTGATAACCCTTTTAGTGACAGATGACACTCCTGGCCTGCAGGTATGTTATTGTTTCTCAAAAAGTTTAGTTCATCACCTTCTAGTTTTATTCCCTTTTGTGGCTAACCACTCGTGGATTATCTCTTGCCACCCCCAAAGGAACATGGGCTCTTGTTTAGAAATTCAAAACAGTGTCTTCATCAGTTGTCATGTTTAGCCTTATATTATGGTTCCTTACGCTATTAGTGTACAGATATGCAGGGAGAAGGATAGGAATCCCCAGCTATGGGAAGATGTTCATCACATTGATGGGTATATGATCCTTTCTTAACTTCCATTTTTTTCTCGAACACGCATGAGAATATATTAAAGATTGAAAACACGGTCCAATTACATGCTGACTCCACGGCTTGGGTTAGTGTTTTGACATGCTCGCACCCTTGTACATTGTTGTGAAGTGCCCCCACCCATGGCCTAACCTAACAGCTGCCCGAGAGCTTTTGCTCTGTCGATGGTGCAGGCATGCGCCCTCTCACCCACCTCCTGCATGACCTGCTGGACCATGGGCATGACTTCTATGAATAGTAACTGAATATAGCTGTTCGGTGGTCGGTGCCCCTCTATAGTGAATATTTTTTGTTGTCCTGTTAACTTCTGGACCCCTGTTTCGGGTGTTCTGCTGTTCTTTCGATAATTTCTCGCAGGTATGGTATTGACAGATCTTATGCTGCATGTAGGGCCCTTATTATTAATATAGGTGATTTGCTAGAGAGGTGGACGAATTATGTTTTCAGGTATTATCCTTTATTATCTTTGTTGATTAATTCTGTGTTTTTATGGCGATACCTCTTAAGTCATGACAAAGGTAAATATTATAACAGATAAAATAAAAAGGGGTGTCGGGGACCAATACTAGGGTACCCGAAGAGGACCTAATAACCATCAACATTGACTCGTCCGAGCAGTCAAGAGCGCGACTATAGCTCCAACCGACCCCCAGGTGCGCAAACTCCACCTCGCCCGACCTCTGAGGGTTGGCTCTGCCTCGCCCGACACCGAGGCCGCGGGCTCCGCCTCGCCCGACCCTTAAGGGTTGGCTCCGCCTCGCTCGACCCCTGAGGGTTGGCTCCGCCTCGCCCGACACTGAGGCCGCGAGCTCTGCATCGCCCGACTCCTGAGGGTTATCTTCGCCTCGCCCGACCCCTGAGGGTGGCTACGCCTCGCCCGACACCGAGGCCGCGGGCTCCGCCTTGCCCGATCCCTGAGGGTTGGCTCCGCCTCGCCCGACACCGAGGCCGCGGAGTCCGCCTCGCCCGACCCCTGAGGGCGTGCTTCGCCTCGTCCGACCTCTGGGGGCAGGCTCCGTCTCGCTCGACACCAAGGCCGCGGGCTCCGCCTCGCCCGACCTCTAAGGGCTGGCTCCGCCTTGCCCTACCCTTGGGTTTGGGCTCCACCTCGCCCGAGCCTTGGGTTTGCGCTCCGCCTCGCCCGGCCTCTGGGGAGGAACTCCGCCTCGCCCGACCCCGAGGCCGGGGACTCCGTCTCGCCCGACGGAGACCCATACCGCCGCCAAACACTCCAGGTCCAAACGTATGGGCCTGGGTCAAAGCTCTGACGCCAGGGAAGAGACTGGCATGCCTCGATGTAGCCCGCGACCCACGACAGGCCATACCTAGGGGTTCACGTCAGGAACAGCGTTGGGCGTACTGGTGCTGTTCTGCCTAACCCCCGTACGAACACTGACGGACGCATCAGTTCACCACGACGTCCGCCAGGACGGAGTGGAGCGCCATGATCGGCAGACGACGCCTGCACATGACGCCAGTGATGGACAGGGCCGCGACGAGAAGCTGTCCCTATTGACGTCTACAGGGTCGGTGGGACCCGCATAGAGGAGAAGGACCTGGCGATCCTGAAGGGCTTCTTCCTCTCGTCTCTTCTCTTCCTCCACTGTAACCCGTGCTTTCCCTTGGCCTATAAAAGGGAAAGCAAGGCGTCCCACAAGAGGCATCGGACGAACAATCACATCACATCGCATCGAACCATCGGACTCGAATCCGATCGATCCATCAAACCCCGAACACGCAGCCAAGCAGCAATCGAGCTCTCGGCACCCATTCGTTCCTTCCACCAGAGACTTGGGACCTATCTCTCTCTCGACCGTTTATAACCCCTATTACGAACTTTCAGTGCTAGTAACACGAGCAACGGCAACGAACTGGACGTAGGGGCATTCTGTCTGAACCAGTATAAATCTCGTGTCCTCTAAGCACACCATCCGAGCCAGATGTGCAATATTAGAAATTTACTAGCCGATGGCAACTCGAAACACCAACAGTTGGCACGCCAGGTAGGGGCCTTTTGCGCGTCTCGATATCCACACCAGGCCTCGGATGGCTAGTCACAACCTCAGCTGGGTCCTGGGCGCGCACGTGCGCTTCAGGGACCTAGACTTCATTGTCACGACGGAGGGAGAGTTGGCGATGGCTCTCGCCGCCGTCCGACCTCTTCACTCTGCCGGCCTCGACACAATCGCCGAGGCGCTTGAGGAGCTGCAGCTGCACGCACCGGAGGCCCGCGCCCCCAGAAGCGACCAGCTCCTCAACTTCGACTACAGGAGGCTAGAGCGCCAGCTCGGCGTCTTCCTGGGACCCCAACCGTCCTGGGAGGACCTGCGCCACCTCACCTTCTCGTCCGTCAACGTCATGGCGTAGCTTGCCGGAGGGGAGCCGCTCTCTCCGGAATACCTCATCCGGAGCGCTCCGACAGCGCTCCCGTTCGGTCTCCGCAACGCAGCAGAGACCGATGGCCATCTTGTGGTGCAACACACGCCTCTATCCCCCACGAATAACGAGTTCATGGGGATGACCGAATACGTCGCGGAGTCTTTCCACGACCTCCTCGCGGGAGAATCGGAGTCGCCCTCCGGCTCTGACTCTAGTAGGGGGAGTCATCACCCCTCTCGTGAGTGTTTCATGGCAGGTACCCCGAGGGACATGTCGAAAGCATCCACGAAGAGAGGGCTACCCTGACGAACGACCTCGACGACGAGGTTGAGGGGGAGATAGGGGCCCCACCCCGCCTGCGGGTGGAGCAGCTAAAGGCTCGGCACCTAGAGTTCAAGGAAGCACGACTCCAGCTCGAGCAGGAATGTGCAAAGCTTGATCAGGAGATCGAGCACCACGGAGATGGTGGGCGTGCGCGCGCCATGGCCCGCGACGTGAACTGGAGGATCATCGTGGACGATGAAGCCCTCCCACACTTCGCCCGGGCGAGCCAGAACATCGCTGCTGTGGCGGCCTTGCTCCGTGGGCTTTCGAGGCCCACGACGCCCGAGGATCGTCGGGCCCACCGTGAGATTCGCATGCTGCTCGAGTGTGCGGCGGCGCAGCAGGCTGAGAGCTCACTGTCTCGGCGACGTGAGCTTGACGCCAACCAGCGCACGCCCTTAGAGCGACCTGACAAGGACGCGTCAGTCCACCAGGTGCCACAAGGCGGTAGGTAGCGCACCGCGGTCCCGGTGCATGAGCGTCTCGGCCGCAACCGTGACGCATGCGACACCCTCGACGCCCGCAGACGTACCCACGACGATCCGAGAGAGGGAGCTAGCCGCGGCTATCACCCTCATCGTGGCGGACGCTACGACAGTGGCGAGGACCGAAACCCGAGCCCCGGCCTACCGGGGCCTCAGGCCTTCGGACGACACATCCTCAACGCCGCCTTCCCGCCAAGGTACGGACCACCAACCAACATCCCGAAATACTCTGGGGAAACGAACCCTGGACTGTGGCTCGAGGATTATCGGCTTGCCTGCCAAGCCGGTGGAGCGAATAATGACGATTTCATTATTCGCAACCTTCCATTGTTCTTAGCCGATTCGGTGCGAACATGGTTGGAACACTTTTCGCCCAACAGAATCCAAAGTTGGGCGGACCTAGAAGAGATCTTCGTGGGGAACTTTCAGGGCACGTACAAGCGCCCTAGCAACCCATGGGATCTCAAGAATTGTCGACAGAAGGCCAGAGAAACCCTTCGTGGGTACATCCAGCGCTTCTCCTAGAAGTGCAACGAGCTACCTAACATCACCGACGTCAACGTTATAGGAGCTTTCCTGTCTGGGACCACTTGCAAGTCCCTGGTTCACAAGCTGGGACGTAAGGGCCCGCGAACCACCAAGGAACTCCTCGACATCGCCACCAGCCACGCCTCGGGCGAGGAGGCGGTTGGAGCAATCTTCAACCACCTAAAAGGCAAGGCGAAGCGGGACAAGGATGCTGGCGAAGGCGCTTCCAACCGTTCCATCATGAAGAAGAACAAGCAGCGGTGCGAGGGCTCGCTCATGGCCACCGCTGACCGCAGGGGGGGCTAGAAGCCCACGGAGGGTACTCCGGACCACTTCGAGAAGCTGCTCGAAGGGCCATGCCCGAACCATTCCTTCCCCGTCAAGCATCTATACAAGGACTGCGACCTCATGAAGCGGTTCTTGTCCGAAGGCTTCAACAGGGGGAGCATGGGAAGGACCCCAAGCCGACCATGGACAACGCCGAGGGGACGGACAGTGGCTTTCCGACGCCGGATGGCTGCCTCATGATCTTCGGAGGGTCGGCGGCCTACGACTCCAAGCGTCGCTAGAAGCTCACGCACCGTGAGGTCTATACGGCCAAGCCGACCACGCCTACCTTCCTTCGGTGGTTAGAGTCCGCCATAACCTTTGATCGGACCAACCACCCGGAGAGCGTCCCGCAACCGGGGAGGTATCTGCTGGTGGTCAACTCGATCATCGGCATGAAGCAGCTCTCCAAGGTACTGATGGACGGAGGTAGTGACCTCAACATCATGTACGCCGAGACGCTCGATGCCATGGGCATCAGCCGATCCCGCATCCGTCTGACCGGAGCGCCTTTCCACGGCATCGTGCCTAGAAAGCAGGCCGTGCCACTTGGGCAGATCGATATGCCCGTCATCTTTGGGGATCCGTCCAATTATAGGACGGAGACCCTCACCTTCGAGGTGGTGGGATTCCATGGAACCTACCACGCCATCCTAGGACGTTCATGCTACACGAAGTTCATGGCCGTCCCCAACTATACCTACCTAAAGCTGAAGATGCCGGGCCCAGGCGTGGTCATCACCGTTGGCACCTCATTTCTATGCGCCTACGAGTGCGAGGTCGAATGCTGCAATCACGCCGCCGCAATCGTCGCCTCCAAGGAGCTTACGGCCATTAGGAAGGAGGTCGCCGAAGAAACACCCGACCACCAGAGGTCGGCCGGGTCATTCAAGCCGGTGGAGGGCGCTAAGGAGGTCCTCATAGACCCCAGCGGCTCCAAA